TCGCCCTACGCGCTCGTCAAAATACGGCACAACTCATAAAAATACTCAGCGATACTACACAACAAAACGTGTAATAAGATATATAAATTTATCGTGCTTACTGACATGGAGCGTCATTTTGAATTTTTCATTTTTGAGGGGAAGGGGTGGAGGAACTTAATCGAGGGGGCTTAGTAAATTTCTTCCTCAAAAGAGGGGACGGATTATTAGATTATTGTTCCTCGATTCATCGTCACCAGTCTGTCAGGTTATTTGCTCCAACAAACTTCGTCTTTTTCAAGTTTTTGTTCTGCACGTCATTTTTTCAAATATTTCGACATAAGGATTTTATTTGCATTCGCTTGAGTAAATACGCTTTTGATATGCAAACACTTTGAAACCATTTATTTAGAGTGGAATCTGTCAATCATATGTCTGCCCAATCCTCGAAAAGCGAGTGAAAAATAATACGAAGGAACACTGTCATTAAAAAATCCTTCTACCGCTGATTTTAAACCGGACCTCCTCGAAGTTGACATTATATTTATCCTTAAATTTATTATTTCATTGTCTTGCACATGAATAGTCTAACATTTCAATGGTAGTGTTTATAATTAGCGAGTTCGACAGAGGGATAACAATATCTAAACAATAGATTAAATTGAAGTACTCTAACGTTTAATAAAGAAAAGACAAAGCTTAACGGGTTTGTTTGCTCATAATGATTAAGATAAGACCGAAGTAGTTTGGCGTCGAGGTTAAAGAGATGAAATTTCACTTCACTTTTTGTCTCATCAAGTTCAATGAGCCTTGCCAGAAAAGCGAAATTATAGCAAAATAAAGCAAGTTTTATACAAGAAAAAAGTCAGTTTAAGTTTAAAATCTTGTTTTCTTTAAAAACACAACTTAAGGTGTAACTTCTTCTTTGGTTTGGAAACGAACCCGATATCGTGGTACATGACATCGTTAAAGCAGTGAATTGTTTACATTGAAAGTTCACACACATTTAGAGTCTTCATTTTGACTATTCGATCTCAAATAGCGACAGGTTTTCAGTTTATCACAGATTTCGGATAAATCTGACAGTGATACGGACCGTCGCCTCGTTTCCAACTTCGCCTTCAATTTCCCGTGCGGTAGATGGAGTGCTTGAGGCGCTGAATCATCCGACCCTATCCGCTTTCGATCCCGTTTCTTAGTGCTGGAATAAAGCCGGTTAAAAACGCTGTCCTTTTTTTGTTCCTTAGTCTTCGTTTGCTCTTTCGATGAAGAAACAGGCAGCAATATTAACCCCCGATGAACTTCGCTGCTGTTGCTATCTCTGATAGAAGCAACTGCTGTAGCAGGTCGTCGAGGAATTTGAGAAAAATTACTCGGTTGATCAAAGTTAAGAGCCTTCGGGCTGGTAGGCGAATTTAAGAGGACAGATGAGTCAATATTTGTTCTCTGTAACCTGGGTGAAAACCGTTGTTTACTCTCCAAATGTTCTTCACGCCGTGTTTCGTTCACGTTTGTCATTGAATTAGAACTTGAAAGCATCTGCGGCGAACTTGATTGTCTTGTTAAAAGTTTATGTTCCGGCTTCGGTGATTCGGCGAGACGTGAGGGAGTGATAGGGACCGGGAATGATCCAGGATGAAGATTTCTAGCTTTTCTAATCCGCGGAGGCGTTGCCACAATCCCAGCTCTATCTAAATACAGCGGTGGAAGATTGTGAGCCTTTTGAAGCCTGCTAAACTCTTCTTCTTTGCTCAAACCCGCATTTAGGTCTAAAATTTCTTGCTGTGAAGATGGTGTTCCGGCTCTCAAGCCTTCAGAGACGCTGGGAGATTTAACGAGAATCTTCCTCCGCTGAGAATTCGGGGAGCCGAAAAACATTTCGTCTTTCTTCATTTGCAAATTTAACAGACGCATATCTCTTTCGGCCTCCAAGTTTTTGACCTGCTTTTCAAGCTGGTGGCTTTTGGTAGAGTTAACGCTGATAGCATTTCGTACAGAAACGCTAACTTTTGTTGCGATGTAATCATCCATTACAAACAAACCGTTCCAAGTGTTTTCAATGATTTCACATCATGGTAACCGACGCTAAACTGGCCGAGCCCTAATGTCGGATAAATTTTAAATGTTCAAAAACCTATTATCAGGACGCAGATGTTTTTTCAATGAAACCTAACAACTATTTGAAGCTGTCCAAGAAAAGCTCATTTGTCAAAGACATTGACCAAAGCTTTGTATGTTTTTCAGTTCTATCTTTAATCTGTTTGTTCAACTGCAAAAGCCACGATTGGTTCAAATCTATATTGTGTTAATTACTTCTGTTTAGACCTTTTGGCAAGACGGATCGGTTTTGCAGAATGAATTTACTTTCTCTGTGTTTTACTTTAAACACAGTTAAAAAACATGAAAGGTGGTTTAATTCATTAGTATAATATTTCGCATTTCTTTTCCTCAAATTGCCATACGAAGTTCAAAGAAAAAAAAAAAGAGAAACATTAGACATTTGGGTCCGTAAATCTTTGATGCTTAATGGATAGTTTATCCCCTATAGATAAAGAAAAAAAAATATATCGGCATATGTGCAAAAAACTCAAGAGATCTGCGAGATCTGCAAACCCTGTACAGGTTTGTTAATTTTTTGTTCACTTTTGTTTTTTTTTGTTTTTTAAATGTTGCATATCAGTTATATGAGAAACGTGATAAGAGCTTTTAAAACTTGGTGTAATTACGTAATTAAATTCAAGAAAATGTCAAAAAAGTCGCCAAAATGTGAGGTGTTAGTCATTAACCGTTTTTACATATGATATAGTTTTATGCCATCCTTCAGAAAGCAATAACTTCAGTTGCTTAGAAGAGGGACACTTCACACAAAAATTCAGAAACTAATTATCGTTTTCAATGAGCTCCCGATGAGCTGTAATGAGCATCTGTTTGGGAGATAAAATTCGTATCCGACTGGAACTTTTCAAAATCTCCCTGATGAATATTTTGTAGGTAATTATCACTCCATGAGTTTCAAAGCTTTTAAAACCTTTACGTCGACAAAGTGTCAAGGTTCTATTTGGCGACAGGATTAAAACAGACAACTAAATAAATAATACTTGATTCCTCTGATGAAATTAAAATTTCAAATTAAGGTCGGATTTTATAGTCGCCGCAAGTTTTTGTTAATCTAGTTGCTTATCTAGGATAAAATCGCAAACCAAGTTAGACTCAAGATTGGTCGCACCCAAGCATATTCATATCAAATTAGAGACGAATGGAGTCAAATCTAATCTTACCGTGAAATTATTGTCTTAAGAGATGTCGGTTTGTGTTGTTTGGCGGCCATCTTGAATTGAATGAGAAGTCTGGAGCCGAATATGACGAAAGTGCGGGAGAGAGGTCTGGCACGATCACGAGGAACATCTGCTTCAGTTAAGGTTTTCTTTTTTCCTATATAAGTTGAAAACAAACATATTTTTTCTCGCATAAACTTTAGGAAATTGTTAACTGTAGCCTGAAGAAGTTTGTTGAAGAAAACAGAAGTGGTAAATCCAAAACTGAAAAGCAATTAACACAATGAAATTTTAATTTTCTACACAGCTGTAACAACATGCGATATTTTATATTATCCTAACAGTTCCCACAAAAAATTGAAATGAGAGCATCATGAATATTAAAGTTAAAGCGGATGACAAATGAAGATGCAATTAGGATTTCCTACTATCAAGCTAGCTGTCAACGTTTAACTTTGAAACAATATTATTTAAATTCTTGGCCAGCAAAACAAGTTGAAAGGAACAACAAATATTTTAATTCAAACTCCGTAAAATTTTTGGAAATATCTAACGGCTGAACAAATTCTAGAACTTCAAACTCAAGTGGAAGCTGGTTATTTAATTTCTTTGTCATATCGGCGAAGCTGCATATCTGAAGACTTGTTAGAAAACTTGCTAGATATTTAAAAATATATAAAAATTGAAAAGTGTTTATATTTAAAAACTGAAAAGTGTTGAGACGGAAATATCATGAGAGGCCTCGCGATTCTGGTAAGTTTTCTTTGCTCTTTTTTTTTTCATTTACCAGGTAAGGTAATCATTGAAAAATCGTATTCAGCTGTAACACATAACTTCAAATTTTCTTTCGCCGAACTAACTCATATACTGTATCTTTGTTCATGCATAATCTAACGCCTTCCACGAAATTCCCTTTCTGAGTCGCATTATCATTTTATTTTCGGCCGAAAAATGCTTTAAAAGTGAGAATCATCCTTTCTTTTAAGTGTTTCGTACCAGAGTTTTGTTTCTTCGTGAGGAGAAAATTCTAGAATATATGTGCGACGATTTTCATAAGTCAGTGGGGTGCCTCAAGGTTCGATCCTTGGCCCCCTACTTTTTCTTCTATCCCTTAATGATCTCCCTAACTGTAACCTCCCATGGGACGTGAGAATGTACGCTGATGACACAAATGTATCATATTTGCCTCCAAAGACCCTAATGAGTTATTTTCAACCGTGAGTCATGATTTGGGTAATCTGAAGCAATGGCTCGATTCTAACCGTCTAAGTCTTAATGTCCTCAAAACTAAATGTCTGTTTACAGGCACGAGGCACAAAATCTCTTTACTCCCTAGGGATCCATACATTTCTGTTGAAGCTGGGGCATTCAATTGAGAGAGTCAATGGTTACAAATACTTAGGCGTCCATGTTGATGAAACACTCTCGTGGGAGGCTCACATCTCCGAATTCGTTGGTAAAGTTGCAAAAGTACTAGCTGCCCAAAGTAGGCAAAGACCGATATGTCCCCAGAGTACCCTTGTTACAATAATTTAGAAATCATTGATTCTACCGCATCTCGATTATTGCAGTGCTGTTTGGGGCTGTATTGGTAATGGTCTAAAGGTTGATTGATTGATTGATTTTGGTAAAAATCGGAAGGCAAGTCACTAAGCAACGGGCAGCTGTATAATTTGAAGCTCTGGTCACGACTTCCTGATGATATTATAACTAATTAAACAAGTTTGCATTTCTGCTGGGTATAAGCTAAAACACTTGGCTTTCTATTGACAATATTGATTATCTAACGATAAGATTAGGAGCTCGAATTTTCTATCGTCGAGTAGCTAATGGGGGGCAAAACTCAAGCCAACTATCACGCATGGAAATTTAGGGCGAATAATCTAATAACTTTAGTATAAATTCATTACTTGTCCAAATAACAAGACAGGTTCCTTTTTCTTTTGATTTTGTTTTCAGTGGCACGTTGTTAAGCTACTCACTGTATATCCGAGAATAGATAGTGGGTTGTGCAGCCAATCAGATTGCAGCTTTGTAATAGAACGCTGATAGATTTTATGCTAAAATCAAACCGAGTCAAAATGAAATTATGTTTGTTTTCAGGTGGTGTTAACGTTCGTATTAGATCGACAAAGCTGTTTTGCATTCTACAAAGTTTCATGTTTACCACATTGTAGGTATCATTACATTTAGGTATTCATTGTTTTAATAATTGCTAACTGATAGCATCAGATGGTCGTATCATTATTCATTAATGTATGCACTCAATTGCAAAAACGCTGACAACTAAAAAGGATTCGCAGCCAGCGATGAGACCAAAGGGGCTTATAGTACATATGTACGGGATATACATATGTACATGATAACCACAATTACGCATAGTAAATTTGTACAGAGTAAATGATAGAAGCCATCCACTCTTTCCTGAAAGAAATGAATCATCATGAAAATGTATATTTTCCATGTATAATTTTTTAAAATACATTTTATTCGATTGTTCACCACTAATTCAATAAATTTTGTCGTACCAAATAAAAGTAAAGGCATTGATTATGTGAGTGTGTGATCATTTCAAGGAAACATTTCATTCGATTTCTGTGGCGGGTCGATACCAAAGTCTCACTTTACAGGTTAGCAGACTCCCCTGGTAAGCAGATTTATAGAAAGAAAAGTAATAACAAAACATCTTCTTTCTCATTTCGATTCTGCTTAAAAACTAGTTTGAAACATAATAACATAACGCTTTCAAATCAATGTATGGAATTAATATTAATGTCAATCACGATTCTTGCCATCAAATAAATCTACCAATAAGAGGAAACGTCTATTTGACGGCCATTGGGTTTCATCGTTCAGTGATCATGCTTTTTAAATGTGTACGCTTTTCAAGACCCAATTGACCTTCAACCCCCGCACTGTGTCCCAAATTTTTACAAATGTCTAATATCTTTAGGCTTTATTCAATTGCCAAGCTAAAACAACTATTTTCTTTTTTGATTTGTTTCCGTGGATGAACAGCAATGAAAGGGCTCTTCTATGAAGAGTGGTACAAGAGCAAAGATTCCAATATCGATTCGTTAGAGGATGTAAAGTTCGCCATATTAGAAGAGGTCAAACCAGATGTTATCAAGAATGAGACACCAACGCGTTTGTCTTTAAATTTCCAAGGAAATGAGGAAGAGACTGGTCGACGCTGGCGGGGCTTCTTTGTGTGTTCCATGACAGGGGAGTATGAGTTTTATTTTTCGTGCGAAAAGGCTTGTGAATGGTTTCTCATGGAGGCTGGGGACAATAGCTCAACTCATTTAGTTGGAGGAAATTCCAGCGCTGGAATGTCGACAGCACAATTTATCAAGTAAGTCAGTCACTTCTGATTGCCGCACGAGAATTAGATACCGGTGACAAAACATCACACCACCCCACCCCACATCACACAAACTGCCCTTCCTCTTGGCAACTGCGCATGCGTTGGTTCTCTCGGACCGAAACAGCTTTAGTATTTTCTGTAAGAAAGCCATAAATTATTGTTGCGGCTTTAGCCAAACTCTGCTGGTTTTTAATGCTTCCGGAGTAAACTTGGATTTAACTTTCTCTAACATTCTCTGCTACGAAAACATGTAATTTAACAAATCAACTGCTGTTCAGCCTAGTCTGTTCTCTTATCGACTTATTCGTCATCACGGTATTCGAAATGTTTTGTACCCGCGAGGCGCAGCCGTGTGTACTCTTAGCGACAACAGCAAATTGGCCAACTAGATTACGAAATTACTGCCAATTGCGGTAAAATTTGTTTTCATGTTTAATGATGTTCTCAATTCAGAGCTGAGCTGTCAGTAAACCTCACCGAAGGACGAGCCTACTACTTCGAAGTTATTCATTATTCAGATGACGAAGGTCACCTAATATTTAAGACGAGAGGTCCTGGTGAAGAAACCGCGTCGAATATGAGCATTTCTCAGTTGGTTGCGTATAAAGAAGGCGAGTAAAATATGTCCCGTATGAAGAAAGAGATGGAACACGTCTGCGCATGTCACTAAATCATAGAACTTGGGGATACATGGGGTTTTTAGTTTCAATCATCAGCAAGAGTCCGTAAATGGATAAAAGGGTAGTGTTTAAACTATATTTTGTGCTTCTGATATAGAAATTCGATAGCAAAAACTATGGGCTAATTGCTCCAACATCTTAACGAACGAAGAAAATCTCGGCTCCTTACATTTTTGCAAGGTGCGATTTTACAATTCTTTTAGCAATGTGTTACTATGATTTTCCCTCTTCAGCACGAGAGAGTTCGTGACACGCGCAGACTATTTTTCAACTCAGTCCTGGATGAATTCTTACCGTCTAAAAAGATGTCCCTTAGCTGGATATTTTCAATGCTATATTTAGCGGTTAAAATTTTAATTTTCAATCTCTCGGACGGATTTCTTAAAAGTAGTGCTATATTGGACACCTCTCAGCCTGCTTGAATTAAACTTGACTAGGCTAATTTGCGATCCCGTCCAGCCCCGTCGACCAGTTCTGAGAAATGAGAGGGCCTGACTGAAACCAGTAAACTAATTCACTGCGTCATTATTTCTTTAGACGGGTATTACGATACTCTACATCCGGGTGAGTGGGAGGCCTGGTCACCTTGCAGCAGCACACCATGTGGACCTGATGGAAGGCAAACCCGTGACCGCTCATGCCTCACACACCCTGTTATGTTCAACTATTCAACTGATGGTTATGTGTTAAGCCAGTCACGGACATGTAACAGTGAGGTCATGCCTTTTGGAGAAGGTAAACTCGCCAATGGAAAGCTTAAAATTATGCGCAAGTCTATCCTTGAACGATTTGAACTGAATGAAATAATAAAATTTTTTTTTCGGTTGACCACGAGCGCGGGACAAAGAAAAGATGAGTTCCCATGGGGAATCAAACCATAGACAGCTATAGACCTTCGAATTCCACGCGGTAATTTTTGCGACTGAGTTACAAAGACCGTAATGGTGTGCTAAGCCGCACTTAATCTTATATCTGACAGCCACTTTGAATGTTGGTTGAATAAGAAGTCTGAGAAACAGAGTACGATTATTCGAACAGCCTTTAACTAGCTAACCAAACAACTGAACAAAGGAAGTGGCTTTAAAAGAGCATTGTTGAGGTTGTCTCTAGGCTTCTCTATTGATTTTTTATTTCCAAGAACTTATTTCACAATCCAAATACATCAAATACTAGTAATGACGTAAACTCGCGCGCGCGCATTGTAGAGATGAGGAGTTGTATTTAAGAAACATACGCAGCAGCTTTCGATCCCTCCACACAAGCACGCGTGATATTGCCAATGAAAAAGAATACGGTATTAGTCTCCCACTTCACTACTTATGTTTACATGCTCTCCGTCATCTCAGAATGCAAACTACGTATATGCACAAGTGTTGGTATGTATGCTCTTTGAAGATCTAAACTGGGCCAACTGTAGCTTCGCATGACAGGGAATTTTGGGATCGGGCGTTCTGTTGCTAAGAACACGTGCGTAGAAAGGACGGGAAAACCACTTGACAAAGTGACGCCATTCAAAATGCGAATCGTTTGACGTTACTTTCTTCTCGTTTCGAAAAAATCCTTTGCCAAATTCTTCAACATTTTCTTTGAATTACTTCTAAAATATTTTAAAGCTTATTTCGTGACCTTTCCTTTCAGTACCTATTACTGCTCCTTCGAACGTGAGAGGACATAACACCAGATCAACCAGCATCAGAGTCGAGTGGGATGACGCTCTTGCTTTAGATGAGAATTGTACCATTATGAGTTACAACATTACTTATCATTCCCTGACTGAGAATCACAGTGACAGCATAACAGTGAATTATTCAGTCCGTCAAGAGACTCTAAAAGATCTGAAAGAGTTTGTTAGCTACTGCATCAGAGTGTTTGCATCTACGAAGAAAGGAGACGGACCAGCCAGTAATCCTATCATTGTCAGAACTGATCAGGATAGTGAGTAATCTCTCAGTTTGATAATGTTTGTATTTGATTGAATTTATGAATATGTATAATTGGTGTTCTTCAGTGTCAACCGTTTTTCAAACGTGCGGAAATATCAGTTCTAACGTCTAATTATCTAAAGCTTTTAAAAAGTACTTAGAATTTCATCAAGTTATTAAAGGTCTTTTTTGTTTATTCCACAAAACAAAACAGATCTGAATTTCCTCTTCTTTCTCCAAGTTTACCAGCTTAAATTTATGCTTTTTTCTTTGTTTTTTTTGTTTGTTTGGTTTTTTACCTTATTTTTCTCGCTCTTTATAACAAATGTGCATTTTTGTGCTGTAAGTGACGCTTTCTTCAAGCAACCATAGTGATTTTGGTGGTATTTACAGGTATAGTTGAACAAATTGCGTTCAATAAAGCTTTTATACGAAAACGATTTTCGAGTCCGTGTTTAAGGCTTATGAAAATCAAAGAGGTGAAGACATGGTGTGATTTGAATTCCATTTTTTCCTCCACGCGAGGAAAATAATAGTAATGATAATAAAAAAACAAACACACAAACAAACAGAGATGTAAACTGACAATGTCGGGTGCCGTTCTTAATGGCAGTAATAAAGAAAAATGGATTTTCAAACTATAATTTCAATGTTGTTTTCACCATTCAACTGGAAAACGCTAGCCACCAAGGTATCAAGATTATAGTTATTTGAGCCTCGTTACACTTCAAATGCAACAAAATTAAGTAAAGAATACTATCATTAAACAGGATTTTGTGACGGTAGTTTGTTTTAACCTCCGTTATCCGTTGCACTATTATTTTATAAATTCCCTGTTGAGCAGCGCGAGTATCATGCGATGGTATCGGCCTCTAGCTTATCAGTGAATGATTAAGCTGAAATATGATTACCTTTATAACCTAAGATCCTTTACCTATAACCAAAGATCCTTTATCCTATTAGCTATCGCAAGGCTTTGAGTTTTCAGAATTTCCTGAAGCCCTTTCTTGACAGGTTGATTCCCAAACCCTCATCCAATAAGCATCACGCCGCTTATACTGCGCTGCTTTTACTTACAAAACGCCAGGAAGAGGCTATTGGTCTAACACACTCTCAATTAGTGTCGCCTGCGGGCGGGGCCTTAACATTAGCGTAGCGGAAAGAGTTAAGTTCATCGAGCTGGCGAGAGGTGTGCAAGGGATCTGGCACTT